CAATCTACCCAAGTTTCCATCTATTATTTTCTGATGTAGGTGCGTTACTGGGAGAAAATGATGATATATGGGTAAAGTTGGGTTTTTGTTTTGTTTTCTGATTGTTCTCCCACCTTTTCTGCCCATAATCCACCCCAGTTTCCATCTATTTAACTCTCTGATAGTAGGGGTTACTTAGGGACAAAATGGATATATGGCAAAGTGGGGGTTGTTTTATGTGTTAGGGCTCAGTGGCTTGTTTCTGTTGTTTTGTAGTTGTTTTTTATTTTTGTAGGGCGTACCTGGGGTATGCCCTTGTAAACTTGTACATTTTACTGTCTTTATTTTATTACGGTTACTTATCCAAAAAAAAAAGCCTATGTAGCACTTTTGTTGAGATACCTCTCCAACTAATCTTGCTTAGCCTCAAAGATAGAGAATTTACTGAGTAATTATCGATATTAGTGTGACTTAAGCACATCATTTAAGGTTTTTCAAGTCACCTAAGTGTTCAATTCCAAAATCCAAAAGGATGAATTTGAATTCCGTTTGATTTTCTTCCTATTTCTCTTTATTTTTCTCTAACTTTCTTGTCTAGCTCTCAAGAAGATAGTTTCTCTCTAAGTTTCTCTGTGCTTCTCTCCATCCTTCTCTCTTTCGTTCGAGGAACTAATTAGCTTGGGCCCCTAATTGTTTCATTTGTTCAAGCGGTGAAGTTTATATCAAACTAATCTTGCTTAGCCTCTAACAAAGAGAACTTACTGAGTAATTGTAACTTAACAACATTAGTTTAACTTAAACACCTCGTTTAAGGTTTTCGAAATCTCCTAAGTGTTCAATTCTCATGTCCAAAAGGTTGCATTTGAATTCCGCCTGATTTTCTTCCTATTTCTCTTTTCTGTTCTCTAACTTTCTTGTCTAGCTCTCAAGAAGATAGTTTCTTCCTGACTTTTCCTTTTGGGTGAATAAGAGATAAAATAAAAAATAGAGAGCTACACAACTACAAGGGGCATACCCCAGGACCTAACAGAGAACTATACAAACGAAGGGGCAACCCGAAGGCACCAGCCCAACAGAACAGGATCAAAAACGGCTACCAAGAATAAAGGAAATAATGAAAAACATTGCATTGAAAAGAAATAAACCAAAAAAGGATATGTGCATAAGCTGCATACATGCGAATGAGGTTCATGAACACATCCAAGCGATAACCCTAAGATGAAACAAGAAAACAATCCACATACACGACACAACCCGAAATAAAAACACAGAGCTAACAAAAAAACCATGCACATCCCGCACGGGTAGGCCAAAAACACATCAAAACCGTCAAGCATCCAAACACAGAAATCCAACACATGAATATAAATTAAAAGACAAGTGTCCACAAAGGCGTTACAAGCAGCCATCAACAAACCAGTACCATTAATCATGCGAGCTGCCAGCCAACTAAGAGCCAGCAAACCAGCAGTCACCAAGAGAGGAAGAGAACAGAATCTCCCTTTCCAAGCCTTTCCAGCAGACCTTAAACACTGAAGTAACCCAAAAAACCGAATAGCCAGGAACCTTTGGAGCAACAAATCTGCAGTCCCCAAAACTGGACACCACTGCCGACCCATGCAACCCAAGATCTGCTCATACATTATAGTAGACCCTGTAAGAACAGCCATGAGTAAGTTCCTCCAGCAAATAAGGTACAATCTACTAGACTTTAATACAGAAACAATGCCCTCAATATAGGATCTCACTCCACTCAACCCACAATTTAGGGGCTCACACCACTCAACTTGCGCTTCCTTACCCTGCAGAAAAAAAGATATAGTATATATTAACATTAGCAAAAATGATTTATGGTGGCTAAATACACTCAACCCTCATGTGAAGTGAATAAATTATAACTCCTCTCATCACCTAACCCTTAAAATACATTGATGAATCCACATGTAGGGAACTCTGAACAGACCCTGCACAAAACCAAACCATTAAGCAAAACACTCAATATTGCTCACCAACACTCAACCCACATGTAGGGAACTCACATCACTCAGCAGCCCTCCCATATCTGATAATATGGGCCTTCAATATTGTTGTTGGAAGATTCCATTAGTCAAGAAACCAGCTGTCACTAGCAGAGTTAGGTAAATTCTTAATGGACAGCATTCTACTTCTCACCATCTGGATTACAGATTTGAAAACCACCTCTTCAGGCTTAAATTTTTTGTTAAAAACACGATTATTTCTCTCAATCCAGATGTGATAAATAGAACACAAGAAAGCATTGCTAAGAATATTAGCCCTCAGCGAATTACCCTTAGTCTCCTTAGTAGCATATGTAACAATATCAGGCCAATCTAAAACAGGCCACTTTATGTTGCATTTGGCTTCAATAGCACCCCAAACTCTATTGGTGAAGTTGCACTTAAAAAAGAGATGGGAGTGACTTTCCCCAGGGTCAAGGCAGAAAGGGCATTGGGAATGGGGAGCTAAACCAAACAGAAGTAACCTATCGCCAGTATACAATCTATTATGGATAGCTCCCCAAACAATGAAATGGACTTTAGGAATCCTATGAGGGCCCCAAAGGAGTTTATGCCATTCCACTCTACCCAAACTATGTCTCCAATGATTCCAAACTGAGTGAATGGAAAACTGACCATCAGTAGTAAGTTTCCAGATAACTTGGTCACACTTGGAAGGGTTAGGTTTATAGCATTCAGGAGTGGATGAGATCAGCTCCTGAATTTCCCAAGAATTAGGAATAGGCCACTTCCAAGAATGACCATCGATGATTTGACTGACTTTGGCCTCACTGTTGAGGCAAGAATCATACATTATTCTGTCCTCGAACTTATTCCATAGAGGACCAAGAGGGTGCCAGTTGTCATACCAAAGGAAGGTGGAGGTTCCACAACCAATTTGGTGATTAATTAGGGGAGACATCCAGTCCCTAAGAGAAAATATTTTCCTCCAAACCCAGGAGGGATCAGGGGGGATTTTGACTCTCCAAAAACTTCTACCCTTAAGTAAATAGGATTTAACCCACTGGCACCACATAGACTTCTCACCACCAAAAAAAAGGAACCAGACATGCTTAGCTATAGCCGCTTTATTCCAGATATCAAGAGATTTAAACCCAAGACCCCCCTCATTTTTAGGAGTGCACACAGAATCCCAAGCTATCTTAGCACTATGAGTTTTGAGCTCACTACCAGACCAAAGGAAAGCTCTAAGAATACTTTCAATCTCCCTGATAACCTTCTTAGGAAGGATAAATAGGGAAGACCAGTAAACTTGCATGGAAAAAAGGATGGATTGGATAAGTTGGCTCCTACCCGCATAAGATAAAGTTCTGTTGGTCCAATTCTTCACTCTTTTGGTGATCCTATCAATGAGGGGGGCACAATCAGTAGCCCTCAATTTGGTAGTGATAAGGGGGACACCAAGATATTTAACAGGGAGTGTGCCCTCTTTGAATTTAGTAACATCAAGAATAGACGCGCGTAACCCCATCTCACAACCAGAAAAGTAGATGTTACTTTTGCTAGGATTAGGGGTAAGGCCCGAGAGGTTAGAAAATTCCTCAAGGCCTTCCATAATAAGTTTAACAGTTGGCACATAACCTTTGCTAAAAATCATGAGATCATCAGCAAAACAAAGATTTATAATCTTAGTCTTCTCACATCTCCAATGGAACTTAAACATCGGTTGCATAGACTTCTCAACCAAAATTTTAGCAAGAATTTCCATTTGCTAAAACAAATAAATAAGGGGATAGGGGATCACCTTGTCGCAATCCTCTAGTCCCTTTGAAGTAACCATGGAGACTCCCGTTGATGCAAATAGAAAAGGAGGGACTAGTGATACAGGCCTGAATCCAAGAAATCACGATAGGTGGGAAGGCTATAGCCTTAAGAATATCAATAATAAATTCCCACCTCACACTATCATAGGCTTTCATGATATCCACTTTCATGGCACACTTCGGGGTAGGGGACTTCCTATGATACCCTCTCATAAGCTCCTGAGATAGAAAAATATTGTCAGATATTCTCCTACCTTGAACAAAAGCTGACTGAACGGGATCAACAAGATCCGGGAGAACAGTTTTAATCCTGTTAGCAATGATCTTGGAATGCATTTGTAAATAGTATTACAGCAAGAGATGGGTCTAAAGTCACCCACTTTAACAGGATTGGGGACCTTAGGAATGAGAGCTATGATGGTACAATTGACTTCGGAAAGAAGCCTACCAGACTCAAAAAAAGTTCTAATAGCTTGCGTGACCTCTCTCCCCACAATATTCCAGGAGCACTTGAAAAAACCAACAGAGAAGCCATCAGGGCCAGGGGCCTTATTGGCTTTAAGAGACCAAAAGGTGTCCTTAATCTCTTGATCAGTCACAGGGCTAGCAAGCAATAGCGATTGGTCAGAAGATATTTTAGACTTAACAAGCGAATGGATTCTGTCGAACCCATTATAATGGTCATCAATAGGGGTACCAAATAAACCAGCGAAAAAATCTATAAAAGCATTGTGAATGTCCTCAGGTTTTGAAGATTTTTGGCCATTCATCATCTCCAAGTTCAAGATTTTACCCCTATTAATGTTACCCTTAATAGTTTTGAAGAAGAACCTACTATTGCTATCACCCTGACTAAGCCACTGGACTCTAGATTTCTGGTGGGCCAAGCTCTCCTCAACAGCCAGAAGATCAACATGCTGTTTATACAAAGTTCTCTCAAGCTTTTGCAAAGAAACATTATTAGGATCCTTGTCCAACTTACACTGAGAGAAAGGAGCTCAGACCTAGAAGTGTGGACTCTAGTAGTAATGTCACTGAAGTCTTTCTTATTCAAAGCCTTTAGAGCAGGTTTCAGATTTTTCAATTTCTGACACACTCTGAACATAGGGACACCCTGAATGTACTGGTTCCAAATTGTAGAAACCACAGAGCAGAAATCCTCATGGTCAGCCCAAAAGTCAAAGTATTTGAAAGGTTTCTTAAAAGAAGTCACCTTATCAGAGATGTGTATCACAGCAGGAGAGTGATCAGATATGCCCGAGGGCAAAAATGTAGCAAATGAAGCAGGGAATGCATCAAGCCAAGCCTCATTTACCAGCACTCTATCAATTTTGGAAGCAATATAATCCCCACTGGTTCTCTTATTTGCCCAGGTGAATTGGCAACCTCCATAGGAGAGATCAACCAGCTCAGCTTGCAAAATATGGGAATTGAACTCCTTTTTATCCTTAGACCAACTAATAGAACCCCCAGATTTTTCGTAAGGGAATCTAATAGCATTGAAGTCCCCTAAAATTACAAGAGGAGTGTTGGACTTAGCTTGGGAGATTTTAACCATGTACTCAAAAAAATCTTTCCTAACTTCATATTTATTCCCAGCATAGACAAAACAGACTCTGAACATATAGTCTGTAGTTAAATCATGCACTTCACAAAAAATAAACTGATCAGAGTCATGTAACTTTTGAACTTTACAAAAAGCTGAGTCCCAGCAGACACAAATCCGCCCAGTTTTAGAAGGTTGTGAGTTTGTCAAAAAGGGCCAATTGTTAACACCAGACGAAAAAATCTGTTGTTCATTCAAAGCTTTTATTTTAGTTTCCAAAATGCCCAAAATTTTAATGTCTTCGTGCAGCAAAAATTTTCTAACTTCTTTGTGTGTATGAGGATTATTAAATCCTCTAACATTCCAAGATGCAATTTTTAAAGACATTTGAAAAAGCAAAAAATTCGAAACCCACAAACCAGATAAAACTGGGATTACCTGCATTTCTTCCTCTGGCTTTTGTTGCCCTTGCTAGAGGAGTTACCTTTTGTACTTGAGCCTGCTTGGGCTTGTTTGCTAGTTTGAGCTTTGCCAGGAGTGGGTTCCACAAGGTTCTCCACTTTAGCCATCAATTCTGTGTCATGGGGAAGAAATAAACTTGTAATTTCCACTAGTTCCTTTTGAAGGGCCACCAATCCATCCATATTATCATCCTTTTGCTCACCATCTATTGGGTTCAGCACCTCTCTGTAAGTTTGATCAGGTAATGCAACTGCGGACTCCACCTGAGCTTGCATTTCTGGCTGCTCTTCCTCAGTTTGTTGGGTGCCATCCTCCTTATGCTCCTCATTGCTTGCTAACTCAGTAGAGGTATTTGGAACTCCCACTTTCCTCTTGCCCTTGGCCATGACAGTTTCCCAACCAGGGTCAGGATGATTTTGTACTTCTTTTTGGCTGTTGATTAGAGTCGCAACCTGAGTTTTTACACATCTAGCTGTATCATGCCCAAAGGCTATGCAGTGTTCACATTTTAGGAGTAAACCTTGATATTTGACCTTGACTATGGCTTCTGCTCCTTCACAGTCCACCTTAAACATAGCAGGTAAGGTAGATGCTGCTTCTACCTCAACACACACCCTAGCAAAGGACACCCTACTACCCTGTTCCGTAAGTTGGTCCATAAACAAAGGGACACCTACAGCACTAGCTATACGACTTAGTTCATCACTCCCTGACTTTCTCTGTGCTTCTCCATCCTTCTCTCTTTCGTTCTAGGAACTAATTAGCTTGGGCCCCTAATTGTTTCATTCGCTTAAGTGGCCAGGTTGAAATCAAACTAATCTTGCTTAACCTCTAAGAAAACGAATTTACGGGGTAACTGTAGCTTAAAGATATTAGTTCAATTTAAACATCTCATCTGAGGTTTTCAAAATCACCCAAGTGTTCAATTCTCAAGTCCGAAAGGATCAATTTGAATTCCCTGTAATTTTCTTCGTATTTCTTCTTCTTTTTTGTTTTAGTGGGTTAGTCATAAATTAAAGACAAAAAACATACACATTTACAAGGGGCATACCCCAGGTAATACAATAAAACCTCACGCCCCCCAAAAGTTGGGGGGGGGACTAAAGTAAATAAAAAAAAAAAAAACTAATTATAAACAACACTACAACATTATCCAACAAGATTGCTAACACCAATTGAAAAGTGGCTGGTACCTTCTCAAAACACACCCCACCATTTGTAACAAAACCATGGCCCAAATATAAATGGCCCCACAGATTTCTTCATATAAACCAATTAGGCGTGGGCCCAAAATCCCACTTTCAACACATATATTTGCCAAAACTCACCCACGTGTGAAAAGTTGAGTTTCCCTCCCAAATCAGCCACTCTTTCATTTTCTCTAACTTTGTCTTCTAACTCTCAAGAAGAAAGTTTCTCTCTTACTTTTTCTGTGCTTCTCCATGCTTCTCCCAAACGACCGATGCTTAACAAGCGCGAAACGTACTGTTGAGATGCACAACCTCGGATCCAAAGGAAAATTGCCTCTTGCTTGAGAGGAGCTGCATGGCAACGGACAGTCGCCCCTTGTTTGAACGGCACTGCAGCGCATTGAATGGCAACGGAAAGTTGCCCCTTGTTTGAACGGCACCACAGCGCATTGAATGGCAACGGAAATTTGCCCCTTGTCTGAATGGCCCTGCAGCGCCTTGTAGTCAGTCCTCAACGTGACGAACACAACCAAATTCTCGGATACAGAGAAGACAAAGATGACCAGAACCATCACATGGACATAATCAAATTCGAAGTGTATGCGGCTGGACTTCAAGATGAAGTTGCCTACGTATCCCAAACATGGGAATCAAGCCATGCGTAGTTCGGGATAAGGTACACTTGGGTATTATCCTCTCCTTTTTAGGCTCTAACTTTTGCCAAGGCGCCCGTTGTGGGTTTTCGACCTTGCGAGCTTTGTTCTTCTTTTCTTTTCAGTTTTTTTTCATTTCTTTTTCTGTTCTTTTTTTGCATTTTTTTTTCTTTCTTTTTTTCTTTTCTTTTGCATTTTTTCTTCTTTTTTTTGTTTTTCTCTTGCTCTAACTTTTGCCTGGGTCGCCCTTCCGGATTTTCGGCCCAGCGAGCCTCTCAAGGGTAAAAGTTTAACTTGGTCCATGTTGATCGGTTGTAGAATCTTGAAGCCATCTATATCCAGGAGAACGACTGCTGCTCGTTGATGATGTAGAAGTTCATCCAATGGGGACTGAAGTTGCCCCTAGTGTTGTAGATAGGAAGTCAATTGTCCTTTAATAATAAATTTTCTTCTTCCAGCTGCTAGGATCTGTGGGTAACACTCGAGGTGGGTTTCATCACCAAGGTCATGGTACCAACCCTAATAACAGGGGTGGTCGTGGAGGCAGAGGGCCGTTTCGTGCCACTGAGGGTCGATCGTGGGCTAATGTGGCTTCATCTTCAGTTCGGTCAGAGGTAAAGCTTAAATACTACCCCCCTAAACTCGATCAGGATAAGATAGTTGTTGAGCTGCCTCCCCCTTTGCCTATGGTTAAATGGGAAGCTTGTCTGGTGGGGTACTTCATTGATAAAAATCTACCATATACCCTTATCAAAAACAATGCTAATAATATGTGGAAGAATAAGGGGTTGGTTGATATTCTGAAAAATGATGATGGGTTTTTCATCTTTATGTTGGAAAATCGGGATTGCTGTATTGACGTCTTGGAGGGAGGACCATGGTATGTGGGAGGCTTCCTTCTTGTTTTGAAACAGTGGCATCGAATGATGAAATTGTCTAAGGAAGACAAGAAAACCATCCCTATTTGGGTGAAATTCCATAATATTCCTCTTGAATATTGGGATGGAGATGGTTTAGGAAGAATAGCTAGTGCAGTGGGTGTTCCATTGTTTATGGATCAACTTACCTCCTCGGGAAGTAGGATCTCTTTCGCTAGAGTTTGTGTGGATATTTCAGCTGCATCTGAGTTCCCTGATAGTTTCATAATTACAAGTGGTGATGTATCCATGAATATCCATGTGGAGTATCAGGGTGTTCCATCGAGGTGTATGCACTGTCATGTTTTTGGCCATGAGACTAAGACCTGTCTCTCAGCGCAAGTTACACATCTTATTGAGTTACAGAAGAACTCCGAGGACAGGGCTGAAGTTGATGAGGGATGGACTACTGTGAAGGATAAGGGTAAAAGAAAAGTGGGGGACCAAACCTGCCCTCTTCAAGAAGTTCCTACTGAAGTTGATAGCTCGTCTGCAACTAAGGGGGGTGACCTAGTCCCTGAGCCTGAGGAGGCTGCTCCTCAACCAGAGATTGAAGAAAATGCTGCCAATGTTATGGGCCAGATTGATGCCTCTCACTCTGAGGCTATGGAAACTGTTGAGACCACAACCCTAGCAGCTGAGGAAAACATCAGAAACACTGAGGATGTGGGGGGAGAGGAAATGAGAGCTAAACCTCCTGAACTACAGGGGGGGAGGAAAGATGGTGGGCCAAAGGTGGGTAGCTCAACCAAGCAGAAGTCTTCTGGCAGATCCGGCAGCCAGAAGAAGAAAAGGAGGTAAAAATCTGTTGTCTTTTTTTGTGGTGATCTGGTTGTGATCTTTTTTTGTTATTTATCATGTCCATTAAAACCTCTTTTTGGAATGTCAGAGGGTTTAACAATCCCTCAAAACATAAAGAAGTTATTGATTTTGTTAAAAAGGAAGATATTAAAATTATGAGCATTTTGGAGACAAAAGTTAAAATGGAAAATGAAGCTAAAATTTTTGAAAATAGCTTTAAAAATTGGAAATTTTTGTCGAATTCACAACCAGACCTGCCAGCGAGAATTTGGGTTTGCTAGGATCCAAATTTCTGCGATGTTTTGATGGTCCAAAAATCAAACCAGTTTATTTTTGTAAAAGTGACAGTTTTCGAGGGTGATTTCAGCTTCTTTTCTACTTTTGTATATGCTGAAAATAAGCATGAGTTGAGGCTTCCCTTGTTTTTTGATCTAAAGAAAATTGCTCTCAATTATGCTAGTCACCCTTCTGTTTTTCTTGGTGACTTTAATGCTGTTCGTTTTTCATTTGAGAAAATGGGGGGGAGGGGGAACTGGAGTCGTGCCAATGAGGTGTTTAATAGTATGATTTTGCAGTCTGAATTGGAAGACTTGTGTTACAAGGGGTGTCAATTTACTTGGTCTAATAAGCAGGGTGGTGGTAACTTTATTACCTCGAAAATTGATAGAGTCCTTGTCAATGAGAGTTGGTTAACTGCTAACCCTAACTCGTATGCTCTCTTCTTGCCCTCGGGAGTTTCTGATCACTCCCCTGTGGTTGTGCAAACTGGGGGTGAGGAAGCGAAGCATAAGAAGCCTTTCAAGTTTTTTGACTTCTGGGCTAACCACTGTGACTTCCTCCCCAGTGTGTATGGTGTTTGGAGGAAATACATTAGGGGTTCTCCCATGTTCAGGGTTTGCCAAAAGCTTAAAACGCTTAAACCCATTCTTAAAGAGTTGAATAAAAAGGAATACAGTGAGATTTCCACTCGGGTTGGTGTTGCCAAGGATCATCTCCTTAATTCTCAAATTAAGCTCGATAAAGATCCTTTAAATTTAACTCTTCAAGAGACTGAGAGGGCTGCTTATGTAAAATACATTGACCTTAGCAAAGCTGAGGAGAGTCTTGCCCACCAGAAATCTCGTATCCAATGGTTAGGTTTAGGTGATAGGAATTCTAAGTTCTTCTTTAGAAATGTGAAGGGTAATGTGAACAAGGGGCGGATTCACAGTGTTGTGCTCCCTAATGGGGATAGAGTGACTAAAAGTGCTGAGGTTCACCACTCTTTTGTGGACTATTTCACGAACTTGTTTGGGAAACCTTTTGGTGATCA